GGAGCAGATTTCAAATGGGATTTAATGAAAATAAGAGATGGAATCGAGTGGACGATCTGCCTTCTTGTGAACTGAACCAGAAATTGAGACAGTTGCTAAGCAAATGGAATGTCAAAGTGATAAAAAAAGGAAAGACAACATTCTTCACAAGTCTGTCTATGCAAAACGAGAAGGCTGACAAGCTGGATTGCTCGGGAGCCTATAGTTTCAAATGAGGCAAATGTGAGCAGAAGTATATTAGAGTAAGGCAGAAGGAAAGTTCAGCCTACAAATCAAGGATACCAAAAGCTCTGCGGACAGATCCGAAATAGCGTAACTCATTGCACGGACGAGACACGAAATCGACAGAAAGGCTGGCTGCCTATGTTGAAAATACGGTAAAACGCAGGATACGTAAAATTACCGATATCCTAACTAAAAGAAATGTAATGAAGAGGAGACTTGAAGATGGCAGGATTAGCGAAGGCTTTGCAAACTGCATAGGCAGTTCGGAGGAATTCAGGGAACGGCAAGATCAACAAAAATAAGATGATTAGATCAAAATAATATGTTCGCTTTAAGGAAAAGAAATCGCAAGGAGATCAGAGAGGAACACTCTGGCACCAAAAAGAGACGTCTACAGTGAGCCTAATCAAAGGAGATCGCGACCACACACTATCCTGGTCTTCATACCTTTGACTAATCAAAGTAAGTTGAACAACCATAAAAGTTGATATTTGGCATAAAAGAGATTAGGGCATTAAAAAATTGTATAATTGGCATTAGGGATAGAAGAGCAAGAGATGCGGCGAAGGCAATAGATAGTTAGCTATATTATAAAAGTTTGATCATAGACGTGGTCCATGAAATAAAGGCTTGACCACGAGATTTACCAGATGCATACTCCGCCCAGTGATAAAGGAATCTGCAGTGCTAAGCGAGGTTTCTATACCACTTGATAATCTATACTTTTTGGGCTTGCTTAGTGAGGCTGGCGCATAGGTGCTACCAAAGGCTTTGGGCAGATTGTAGAGCATAATGCCTCGAGTAGCATGGATATGGTGGCAGTGATCGAGTGAAATCATTGAACCAGGCAAATAAGAGATGGATCCTACGGAGTAAGATGGAGATTAGTAGTATCTGAAGAAAGGGGATTGCGGACTTAACTGTAGCCTTGGATCAACATTCCCAGCACAGTAAGGTGTATCTGGGAGCCAGCGGGGAGTGAGAATAGGTCTCACTCGATCCACTCGAAAGGGCTTACCCCAATTAGGCTTAGATAGGCAAGTAAGAAATTATGGTACTCAATACACTTGGGAAGAAAGAGAGATACCACAAACGTCTAGCAGACAATTGGTCAATGGTTCGACTTAATTTGTCTCTTTGACGAATTGCGGTGTAGTGCTAAGAATAGCAAGGGTCACTGACAATGGCAACTAAAATGCTGCTGAGGCGTCTTGGAATGTACCAAGTCTACGGTCCGACTCTTGAGATTACCATGCATATTATGGACTCCGGACAAGATGCGTCCCTCTAAGTCTTCCTGCCAATATGACTGAGTAGCGAAATATAGGTCAAGTTTCTTTACTTATAGAGGTTGTTTGACCTTGTTTTCGCAACATGGTCATATTGGTAGGAACGCACCTAGTCCGGAGTCCATTGTCTGCATGATTATTTCCAAAGTTGAACCGCGGACGTGGTAAATTCCGGACTAGGTGCGTTCCTCTAAGTCTTCCTACCAAAATGACCATGTCGCGAATACAAGGTCAAACAACCTATATACAACGAAAGAAGAATGCGAACACACAAGAGGCCACACCATCTTGGTCTTCATACCTTCTTTACTTATACTTAGTTTATATGTAGGTTTTTAAGACTATCAGTAAGTCATTTATACATGAAGTATATTCACTGTATTCCGCTTGAGGTTTTGTGTCCGTCATTTCAGTTTAAATAAATAATATTTTTTCTCTTTCTACCTACTTTTAATCATACACCTTTCCTACATTTTCTTCCTTCCTATATTGCTCGTAAAATATGCTTTCAATCCCATCAATATGGCTTTGCCTAACATAGACCCACTTGGCCTATACTCCTCGTGGAACTGCCTGCCCGGCCCCGACTAAATGCCCTAGTGGAGGCCGCTGTCGCCTGTAAAGCCTCGCGTGCAGCGCGGCGTCGTCGTCGTTCGACAGCGTTGGCAAGTAAAACCAGGTCGTCCTGTGTTTCACGCAGTAAACGGAGCTCTTCGCGGTGCGCCAGAGCCACCACAAGAGCGTCCGAAAGACGTGAGACTTGTGACATCAGTTCGTCGTTGTAGCGAGCCAAGATGTCACGAGGAAGGGTATGGAGACCTATACGGAGAAAAAAGAGGGAGGAGGACGAGGAAAAATATATAATTTCTGACAAATAAAACAAGAGTTGTTGCTTGAAATAAGTTTTAAAAAACAAACCAGACATGAAGAAAATCTCTATCATATGCTTCAAAAGAGGTATAAAGCCATGTAAAACAAAGTCAAGCACCAAATCTTATATGATTATGTGGATACAGACAGACTGTAAGCATGATATGAATGATAAGAATGCAAATAGCTTAAGGGTTCTGCACGAATGAAGATTTCTTTCAGACCCAAGCCCAAAAGTTAAAACACCAACAATGAAGTCAAAGGGGTATATAAGTGTTAATTTGAAGTCTTAAGTTGGTAAATTGTAATACATCTAAAACTATTATTTCCAAATACTAATTATTAGAACTCTTTGGAAACTCTACCAAGCTTAACCAGAAGTAAACACTTCTGAATGCTTTTAAATGTGTCACATAAAGAGTTAATGTGAACTGCCTAAAAAGAGAAAATACAAAATGTCTGCATAAATATAGCATAAGCTGAAATTTCGCTGCCTTAGAGTAAATTAAATGCCATGAGCTAATTAAATGAGAGATATTTTTGACTCATCCAGATGTCCTCTCTGCCCAGCCTATGGTTTTAAACCGGCTCAACATGGACCAAAGATGCTTTGGTGAACATAATATTAACCTAAAAATAACAAGTCATTAATCGAAGGTATGAAGACCAAGATGGTGCTGACTTTTGTATAGAGGTGCATAGAAGTTGTTTGACCTTGTTTTGACAGCTTGATCATATTGATAAGAAGACATAGAGGAACGCACCTAGTCCGGAGTCCATAGTATGCATAATAATTTCCAGAGTCTGACAGCGGGCGTGGCACATTGCCAGACGTTTCGCCAGCATGTCAGTGAGTATTGCCATTCTAAGCACCATACTACAACTCTTCAAATAGACAAGTGAAGCCGATCATTTGACCAATTGTCTGCTAAACAATCGTGGCTTCTCTCCTTCTGCCCTGGGCTAATCACTAATCCTATCTCCTGGCATCATCCCTTCACTATCACAATTTTTTACTTGCTTAGTTAAATGTGGTATGATGTGGCCTTTTGAGCGAAGTTCATGAGAATTCTCCACAACCCCCGCTGACTTTCTCATCCCCTTACCCTCCTCCACCCTTGTGATGGGAATGTTGATCAGAGTTTGCCACATTGTTATGCAGTCCCTCTTCCATAGGTCTTATCAGTCTCCCTCTTGTCCCGTAGGATCCATCTGTTATCTCCCTGGTTCAAATATTACACTCTACCCCTGCCACCCTATCTGTGCTACTCGAGACGTTATTTCCCACACTCTACATCTAGGAGACTAACTTGAAGCTAAAGACCCCAAGTAATTCTCAGGGTCATCAAGCCTTTGCTTCACGGACCAAATATATGATCAAACACATCTACTGTTAGGTAGAGACGTATATAAAAAACCAACTCATGCGGGTTTCCTTATTCATTTCTTCTCGAACATTACATATAGAGTAAAAATCTGAGTTATGAAGTCTATGATAAGGAGTCTGCGTATAGCAGATTTAAACCATAGGGACCAGGAGATTGGTAGATTGATGAATGTTGTTTCAAAAACAATTACTCATAAGGATTAGCAGGAAATTACATATCAACTGTCATTAGCAAGATGAAGGAAGTTTGCTATAAGGAGCGGGATTAAAAATTAGACAATTCTACTCGGTTCCTAATTTTGTCTTCTTGTCACCTTGCGAAAATGTTGGGTGATCTCCTGCAGAAGTTGAACATAAAAACAATGTATAAAGAGAAATTAACACTTTCTTCAGTAGTTAATTCGTCTAGAGAATATTCAGGCCCTCTTTCTAGAGAAGGCTACTACAAGGCTTTGCGCTCATGCGGTAAGGTATATGTGGGGGAGACCCGCTATGCGAACACAAAACCGCTTGTAAAGGTCTGTGGGTCCAAAAATCTGAACACACTGAATATATGGCCAATACAGGACATTCAATACAATGGTCCAAAACGTTTTGCGGGTTACGAGGACTTCACGTCAACGCGTATGATTAGGGAGTTTATAGAAATTAACAAAACAGACAACGTCCTGAATAGAAGTAACGAGTGTAGAAAACTAATTGCTGAGCTCGAAACCCAAATTTTCTTTGCATGTAGAAAATTAAGTAGCACTGTTGGATAGACTGTTGGATAGACTTACAGACAGCGAGAGAGAGAGTGCAGGAAGAGCCACTGAGCAAGAGGCTGGATTTGCCTTGAGTCTAGCTAGGACTATCACACTTCCCATGACATGAGCACAACATACACACAATAGACAATAGCGCAAGTCCAAACAGGAAGAAACATTTGAGGATCGTAAACTAGTTTGAATGGTGATTTCCACGGTTAGAATAGTTTCCGAAGTCTTATAAGAGAAAGGTCAAGTATCCAAACGAGCATATTAACGCTACTGAAACTCATTCATACCCGGTAGACACTTAGTAAAATCTTACTTGTTCCTTATTTTAATGAAGAGAACCTTCCAGAATTCGGTGATACGCAATTTTTACAGTAAAGAATTAATGCAACAGTCCGAGAAGCGGATATTTTATTACTGATCCCTTCTTCCGAGGCAATCATGGAAATGGTTTTTGTATTTGCCTACTGAAAAACCTAGAAATTATGTCAAGGTTCGCTTTTATTGTCGTATAGAGTCGAATTTTATCACAAAGGGCGACGAGACGAGATAAGAACAGTCTAATAACAGAGGACGGGGATGGTTTAGGTGAAGTAGAGGACTTGCGAAGAAAATGAAGTAAATACAGGCCAGTTTTTGCGTCAAACTCGAACTAGAGTCAATCTAATATTGGCATAAGGGTAGGGTCGAGACCTCGAGCTCGGGTCAGCAGGGCCACTCCACTCCATGAGGGGACACTGCGCGAATTATGGAGGAACGCTTAGGTAACGAAGGAGAATAAATATAAAAGCAGGCCATAGAGGCAAATTAGATAATGCAATATACAGCAAGACCATGTAACTGAGGTGTATTGTCGCACTTCTGTGAATGTTATCGAGTAGGCACAATTCGGTTAACAAGTAAGACCTTAAATATAAATAGATGACCTCAGCCAATTTTAATAAAGGATAAGATAAGCACAGCATTCAGAACTAAAAATTATATCATTTGCCACTTCCAATGTCTCTAGGCCAAAATTTATTCAGTAAAAGACAAGGTCTAGATATTAAATGCAAATTCATGTTCTTATTCAAGCTTGGCTCAAGTATGAGAGCAGGTAAAAAAATAATGTAAATAAGATTGATATAAAATATAAAAGCCAAGATGTCATGGTCTCTGTTTTTGTCGCAATCCCCTTTCGCTCTAGTGAAATGGTCTGATCTCGTTTTCACAACTTTATCGTGTTGTCAAGATGACCTGATTGGACGTACCTTGTCCAAAGACCTCGGCTATAGTAGCCATGATATTTCCCTGGGTAAAACGCTGGTAATTATCACAACTAATATAGCAGAGAACTCCATATAAGGTGTGTCCAATTAGGTCCCCCTAACAACCCGACCAAACTGCAAAAACGAGGTCAAACCACTTCTCGGATGATATGAGTTTCAAAGCGCTAATAGTAGTACGAAGGACGGTGAATTTAAGAGAAGTACCTTAAATAGTAATCCAAAGAACTATAGTCACTTCTCTGTACTTTTAGCTCATTCTTTCTCTCTCGCATTAAGAGCAAAAACAAAAATAGGCTCATCAACAAAACCAGACGTGTGTCCCACCTTGCGCAATCAGAGTGATGGTTATAACATGTATGTAGAAAGGGAAAGACAGTGATCATCAAACCTTAATAGCCAAAAATATACATTACTTTTTGCTACCCTAATTACTTTGAGCCATCACTGCGGGTTTCGTGAATAAGCGAACACAAACAGGAATATAGACATACAGAGACAGACACACTCACAGGCTTCGAAGTTGATATATGACCGTAACTAACCAAATCACTTTATACCTGATCAAAGAGGCCAAATTTAGAATATATATGCCGCTTTTTATGGATTTGCCAGTGATTTTTCTTGACTCGATAGCCTGAATTTGGTTGTTATGATGATACCTTGCTCTGATAATGTTCTTCATTTGACAGAGGAAAGCTTAGCACTTTTTCACCGGAATCGAAGATTACCACGGAATCAGCATCAGCATGAATGTTCCAGTGAAGCCAATCAACAACGGGTCAAGAGGAATCCGCCGTCGTCTTCTGGTATAATCGACTTTCGAATCTCTTTACCAAACACTTTCAGTCGAAATGGAAGTAAGCACAACAATTAGTACCAGATAAAAAATGGCAACATGTTGCATAACGTCGCAGCGTAATTTGAATGTCCCCCAGGCTAGATCCAAAAGGTAATACAAAACTAATTCGGCAAGCATTGATTGTTTACCTGTGAGAAATGCCTAATAATGACCTGGCTTAATTAACAAATATGCCCCTTCTCCTAGTTTCCACTAATTTCCTTTCTTGCAGCTTCCCCAAAACATTCGGCACATTACTTGACCATTTAAAGAAAGCCAAACTTCTGGAGAAGTCAAAACAATACATAATATTATCATATCGATAAAGCGGCTTCTCAAGGAAGGGACATCTTGAAGTTAAGCCCAGAAAAAATAGAAAGGTTTATGACATATATAGATAATAATTATTTCAAAATGTAGTAAAACAGCTCCAGAATGAAGAGATCAACCTGAACAAAATTCATTCCATGAGCTACTGCAAAATAACATTTACTTTGATTTAAAACGTGACTGTAACGAGTCTAATATGCTACTTCAATCATTTCCATATAAATAAAATGGTTACTGCTTACAAATGTAAAGTATAAATTGCCTAAGTTTGTGATAACCAGGCCCTGTTTGTTGAGTATGAACTAGCAAAAGTTATACCATGCCAAGCTTATTCATAATATTTCTAAGACATATTTTGTAACAAACAACTAAGAGACAACAATTCCTATTAAGGCAGAGTAAACACAGTATCTTGCCTTGCACCCAGGCTTCTGTTTGTTTAAAAGGTATAATTGAATGGGCCGCTTTGAAAGCCTCGAACGCATCGGTCACCGATTGCATATGATTCGACTGGGACTTCACCAGAGGTCCTTTCGTCGAGACAATCAAGTTTTGGACGTCAGCGTAAGGAGTAACAATGTTTGACTGAAGCTCTGCAGAGGGGGGAGAAGCCGAAGCTTTTATAGCTACTGTTGCAAGTTCCGACGAGTCTTTGGCCCCTATCGTATGCAGTTCCCTGGCAAGGCTGCGGTTGCGTGGGCAGCGGGCATGAGAAGAACGTGATCGCCGAGATGATGCGCAAGTGACTGTGGCTGTAAAGGGTTGCATCCGAAGGGGAAAAAAATACACGAACTAAAGCAGGTAACTTACTCATAAGAAGTCAACTCATATTATAGAGGATTTGATGCGAAAATTAGGTCCCTAACTTTGAGCTTTAAACTTTTTTGTGGGAAAGACCAATAGAAATAACGTTTGCCTAGATGTCTGAGTAAAGT